TGAACTGTTCACATGTCCTGGTGGTTGAGCTGAGTTCGTTGATCTTTTGCAGGCTGTATTTCGAACCCTAACCCTAACCCTAACCCTATCTTGATCCCCTATTTATAGAATAAACACTACAAAAATGCTCTTAATGTAATCTTCCATATCTATTATTTATATATCTGAATTATTTTGATTGGATCTTACCCCTCAAGATTCTGAGAAAACTGCTACATATTTAACAAACACTAGTTTTGGATACGAGCAAACAAGGTTTAAAGGGCAACTGGACATAGATCACATGTTATATAGATAGAAATGCCTTTTTTTCTCCACTAGAGGGCATCTTCCACCCACCACACTTTTTCATGAAAGGAGGTCACAAAAGTGTATTCTCTGCTACAAAGAGACTGAATCCCAATCTCTTGAACTCAATTGCAAAACCATTAATTATGAAATGCAACCGTAGATGAAACGGTGATTTTTCCCCCCATGAAACTTTAAACTATTGGTGTTTTTAAAAAACCTTTCTAACTGGGGTTAGGAGGGTTTTAATAGGGATGTTTGGAACAGGTTTTTAAAATCCTAACCCCTTTCCTTTGTGCAGTAATGCTCATGTAGACCTCTGTTTGCAATCACACCTCTACAATTCTGCCTTTGGGAGGAAGAGCAGAAGTGTGTAAGTATTTGCACACATGGAGGAAAAGATCCAAAGATTCCTCCTCACCTTCAAGCGCAGATTTATAAAGAAGGGGTCAGAGGCACTGTACTGAAGGAATGAAAGTATAGCCTGTTCACAGAACAGGCATGTCCCTACCACATACAGCATGTATATATGCCTTTTACTGATTGTGTGGCTACAACTATAAACACATTCCCATTTTGCTGTTCTTTTGTTTACTGAATACACAATATACATTTCAGTGAAACTTCATCAGTAACAAGAGGGCATCAAAGTAGTTATGGTGTGTTTGCTAACTCATTCTAGAAGTGTGCCAAGTGTTTATTATTTTCCCAAGCAGTGTTACAACTATTTGAACGTCTATTAAAGTGAGCCATGATGAGGTTGAAAGAACTGAAAGATAGTTGGTGAAGAAAGCTGAGGCTCAGGATAGAGAGTTGAACTGGGAGCTGTACCTGAGAAGGCAGGCAAGATCTGCAGAGGCTGTACCTTGCTGAAGGAACATGGAATGATGTTGCCCCACACAGAATCCAGAAAGACAGAGGTCTGGGCCAGAGAACTGCAGGAAGTTCTATACAAAGAAGCAAGTATCCTGGCAGAAGCTATTGGAGGAGACCTTAGAGGGAAGTAGACTGGGGTTTTGCAACTGAGAATAGCTGCCATGTGGAAGTGTGAAGTGGAATTCGTTCTGCGTAGTTGTCTGGCGCTTGAGTGACTGGGAAAGGGGAGCTGAGTAGCTAAGGGGACAAAGATAGAGGGAAGATAATGTTAGTGATGGGCAGAAAGAAGTATGGCAAGAGATAGGGACAAGCCATTCCAAGGGAAGAGAGATTGGAAACATAAACTCCAGAAGATCCAGTGCAAGTTGTGATTATCTAACTAATCTGTCTGACCACTTTGTGAACAAAATCACTCATATTTGTTTTGAGTTGGAATATGAGTGGACAGAATCCAATGAGATGATATTGCTACCATCTGGCAGTGTTCCCTGGGAAGTTTTTGAACCTATGGATCTCAAAGAAATGGGCGAGGTTTCTTGTGGACTTGATAACTTTCCTACTGACTAGTTAAAGTGGCCAGGGAAGGAGCAGAGACCAGATATAGGCTACAGACAAGACCCCCATGCTGAGCTGCCTACAAGGACTGGGGATTGGAAGGGCCATATTGTGGTGATTCTGCTCCTTTCTGAGTAGGCAGGTTCAGTCCATGGTTGCAAGATATGAGAGGTCAGATGATCAGGCACTCCATTACAGGATGCCCCAAACTCAGCCCTTTTCCCCAACCTGTTTTACATCTGGATGATGTTCATGAACCTGCAAAAGGTCATCTCTCAGCTCATAATATATTGCTGTCATCAATATATAGATGTAACTCAGTTATACATCTCCATCCCATGGAGATGAATGAAGGATGTAGAAGCAATCCCAAACTGGCATCAGAGTCTGGATAAGGAGAAACAGAGACAAACTCACTACTAACAAGATAGAGTCACTATTATTTCATATGCAGTCTGATTCTGAAATTATACCAATGAAAACTCTGATGAGGTGATGTTTACCAGTGAAGAAAGTGTTGCAATTTGGGCATCCCCCAGCCTCATGGCTCCTTTCAGAAGTCATGGAGGCTATGGGCAGAAGGGTCTTTCCCCAGCTTTGACTGGAGCACGAGTTGTGACCTTACCTAGAAGAAGAAATGCTGAAGATGGTAACTCATCTCTCATTTGGATCACTTTACAAGAGATTGCCCTACAGACCACCCAAAAACTTCAGCTGGTGCAAAGTGCAGCAGTCTTGTATTTATGGGCTAATTTCATTATTGCCATATAACATTATTGCCACAGGAGCTGCACTGGTTACTTGTATGTTTTCAGGTACAGTTCAACATTCTGGCTATCACTTATAAAGCCTTACATGGCTCAAGGTCTGGGTATCTATCAAACCACCTTTCCCAGATAAATTCTGCCCAGCCAGTCAAAGTGAACAGAGAATCCCTGATGAGGATTCTCAAATGTCATGAAGTGCAATAAGAAAGGACTTGAAAAGAGGTGTTCTCTGTGGTGGCTCCCCTCCTTTGAAACAGCCTCCTCTGTGAGGCAAAGGTATTTCCAATTTTAATTTCCACATGAAAATTTGTTAAAACTTGGCTGTTGTGGAAGGCCTTTAGAGACTGATTAATTATGATTTTTCAGCACAGATTAATGCTTTAATGATTTGATGTCTTATGATAGTTGTTTTTATCCTCTCAGGATTTTGCATTGCTGCTATTATTGTTGCTCCTATGTACACAACTTAGTCTTTTTAGATTGAAGCAATCTATAAACTTTATAAATAAAATAAAAACAAAAACATTTTAACACTCACTTCTCTCTCTTTTAATGAAACCACTGAATTGGAACCATAGGAAAAGTGTATGTCCTAATTTATCAGTGTGGTCTCATCATGCTGTACCTATTGAAAAGTAAATCTCATTGAATCCAATGAGACTTATTCCCATGTTTAAGACTACAGTATAAGTGCAATTATTTCATTTCTCTCTAGTTTTACTGAAATTCTGCAATGCTTAGTCACCAGAATCAATGAAAAGCAAATCTTATTTCTGCTTTGGTGCTCATTCAGCAATAATTATCTTGTGGAAGGAAAGACCAGAAAAAGCATTCAGTCACAATATTTAACTTCTAAACTGCTGGTTCATCACTGAATATTCATCAGTATGGTTCATTATGTTTTATTTAACAGCTTCCTCAAACTGGGATTGTACGTATAGGTGTATGTATATGTATATGAAAATCCTTTAGGACAGTAAAATCATGGTGAATAATACACAATTTGTTACATCATAAAATCACAATTCTATACATTCTGATATCCTTCTCTTCCTGTCAAGGCTTTCTTCTTTTATATGACATAAATCTTTTGCCTGCTGCATGCATTACAGATTTGTCAGTATGTCTCACATCTTCAAAAAAAGCTTCTCAATCATTCTTCATAACTTCCCTTTAGCAAGTATTTCATAGTGCAACATTATCAGGCAATCCATCTGTCAAGCGGCATTAGTGACCAATACAAATTTATTTATTTATGCGATTTATATGGCCACCCAACTCACTCATGGTGACTCTGGGTGGCTTACAGGAATAAAAATCCCAAATACAAAACCCATTACAACCTCCTAACCCCTGGTGACAACAACACATTTTCACTAGCCATTTGATGGGCCTGAAACTTAGTTAACAGATTATCCTTCCTTTCCATGCAGCACTACAACAGCTAACAAATCTGTATCAATTCTAATATCAGATATTTTCACACAGCCCACCTTGCAATCTGTGATTAAAAAAAACCTCAAAAGACGTATCCTTTTTTAGTCACTTTTGTAAAATGTTACATAGTGTGACATAGGCAAGGATATTACAAATTTCACCCAGGAATAAATATATAATAATGAAATATTATATATTCCCCCAACCAGTAAACAGCCCTTG